TCTAGAACGAACATTGCAAGAAAATCAAAATACGCTAACATTCTACATAGATAAACTTAAAGAACAAGGATACTCGTTTAGTCGAAGACATGACCTAGACGAACACTTTACCCTTCTGACCGCATTAACAGACGATCTACTGAGGGACGCAACAGAAACGATCGACTACATTAATTACATTAAAGAAGGAATTTTACATCCTACAGTAATGCCGATCGAGGACATTATCGTAAATTTGAAAGAAGCCATTACGGGATTACCAAAAGGCTTATACTTTCCGTTTAACTTAAACATTGCAGAATGGGTAATAATAAACAAAATTACCAAGATAAACGCGTATTATAACCATAATAATATATATACAATTTTGCGATTCCCTTTGACAACGTCACCAACATACGAATTGATACACGTAACGTCTGTACCGGTGTACGACCACGATGGTATATTCGTAGCAGTAAAAGTAAATAATGAGCAAATAGCCATAGACACGGACAGACATACATCACGTTGACAGAGAAAGACGAGCGTGAATGCATAAAAATAAATTCAGACTACTTATGCGAGCGAAATTATATTGTAAAGCGAATAAATAAAAATTCCATTTGCGAAGTACAAATGTATTTAAATAAAGAAAATCATTACGACAATTGTGAAAATATATTTATCACCTCGCCACATACGTTGTGGACTAAATTAAGAAACGTATGGATATACTCCGTAGCAGATAAAGAAACAGTCACTATTAAGTGCGAAGACTCACAGGAAGTTAATGAAATTATAGCAAATACAGGCACAATTACGTTACAAAACAATTGTACAATAAATGTTACAAAACAATAAATTAATTACGAACGATGTAATAATAAAATTAGAATCAAACGTAAAAACAAAAATTATAAAGACATTTGCCTCAAGTTAACATAAAATTATTACGCGACCAAGTGCCGGTAGAAAATAGTACCGATCAAATAAAGTTAAAATAAATTCTGCGAAATCCCGCAGAGTTAAGGGACTTAAGCGTCCAAATTAGAAAAATAAATAATGATTTAGAAAAAAATCGAATACCTTTCTATTAACAAGAACAATTTGTATACACAATAGCAATAAATGGAATAATAGTTTTAGGCTTATTAGGAATAATAGCCTACATAGTTATAAAAAAATGTACGAAAAATAGACAACGCCGAATATAATTAAGCAAACGATTATAATTATAATGTTATCGGGCATGAAAAATTGTAAATATTTTTAAAAAGAAAAACAATCCATTGTATTAATCCCGTACTGTTTTTCTAACTAACGGGGGAGGGATGTTATAGCCGCAGCTATAACCATTATAATAAAATAAGAATGAGGCAACTTAGCAACAGAAATTAATTGGGAAACTTGGTCATTCCGCAATGGAACTAAATACCACTGACTTCCGAAAAGTCAGCATACTCATTGCCTACTTTAGTTCAATTGCGAAAGTACAATCTTGCGGAAGCAGCACGCAAATAACGCAAGCTGTTCTTCGCAAGTTGCAGAAAGACGGAAGCTACTGCCCGTCAGATTAAGAAATCAGGTTGCAAGTGTCAGCAATGACCACCTTAAAAATGAGAGCAACCGAAATCTGCTCGAACAGCTGACCGAAGTGCAAGTCCAGTCAGCAGTTGGAGCAAGTATATTAACCGTGACATACTGGCAAAAGAGACAGTCTACTATCAGCTGTTATCCGAGACAACGCCCGTACGCCAACAGCTCACGCGTATAAAATATAAGTCGACCGATTCATAAAGTCAACGCGAACGCGAACTTATCATATAACTAAAATCGGGCCGACGCGAAATCGCAAAGTACATGTCAAGTGGCTAAGTCTTGTAACATAATATTTAATTGTGATATTGTAAGAATTTACTAAAGTTATTAAAGTGTTATTTTGTATTGTGGTTTATTTGTGTGTCCTGGTCCTCGGCGAATCTCCTATCTTCACCCAAGGGTACAACAGACCAATATTTGGCAATTTTTCTGCTCTATCTACACAAAAGTGATTGGTAAAAAAGTTCGGGACATCCTGTATATAATACAGAATGAGTCATTTTAATCGAATCAGGCAAATATCTCGATAAATATGAAAGATACGAAAAAATGTTTCATACAAAAGTTGTATGGTTTAGAGGGGAACATAAGATGGAACCATTGGTTTGACCTTGGATAGTCGTTTGAAAGTCACGTAAAGGTCACCTTCAATTTCTTAAATGGAAATCCCTATTTTTTATTGCTCATTCTTGTAGCTTACCTCGAGAGCTTTTCAAAACACTAAATCAAATATTTTTTCATTAAGTACTTCTCAAGTTATAAGACTCGAATGTTATAGTGTACTGCCGGCATTAACATTACCCAAGGTATCCGACGAGTAAAAATTGAATGTTGTTCAGAATGAGATAACATTTTTCAAGATCAAGGCCATTGGAAGTTGTACTCTTATTTTCATTTTTGCATTAAAAATTACACAGTTCTACGTAAAAATGAACATAAGAGGTACAACCTCTAATGGCCTTGATCTTGATAAATGTTATCCGAGTTATAATTTTGAATAATTCAAGAGGTTTTACTTGTCGGATACCTTGGGTTAATGTTAATGCTGACAGTATATTGTAACATTCGAACCTTATAACTTGAGAAGTACTTAATGAAAAAATATTTGGTTTAGTGTTTTGGAAAGCTCTCGAGGTAAGCTACAAGAATGAGCAATAAAAAATAGGGATTTCTATTTAAGAAATTGAAAATGACCTTCACGTGACTTTCAAACGACTATCCAAGGTCAAACCAATGGTTCCATCTTATGTTCCCCTCTAAACCATATAACTTTTGTCTGAAATATTTTTCCATATCTTCTATATTTTACGAGATATTTGCCTGGTTCGATTAAAATGACTTACTCTGTATATAATATTATGTTACTATTACATTATATTACTACATTGTTATTGAATATATTGTATTATTTTATAACACATTTGTAATTGTTAGTTAAAAGTATTTAATATAATAACGTCACATCCCGGGATAACATTAAACTTTAAAAAGATTGACTTTTAAATTTAAAAACTCGTAATTAATTAGGATAAAATAAACTCATTAAAATATAAAATAAACTTTCAAGGTTTCAGGTTATTTGTTTCGACTTCTTTTTCGCTATAATACAATGTTTATTCTTCTTTTTAAGAGTTCTTAGAAAAATTTCCGATCCATTTAGGAGCCACAGTATCACAAATATTCGTTCCGAATTACACATGAAGCGCATAGACTGCACATGAACGCATTAGACGCATCAACTGCCTCAAGTCAAAAGAGAAGCAGTCAATGCGCTGGGAAGAGTGCTAAGAATTCAGTATGGTTAGTACAATCTGGGGAATTCGTAGCACTTTGGGGCTCCGTACAATAAAAGGAACAGGAAACAGAGAACAGAGAATAAGAATTTCAACCTATCAGAAATCATGTATTGTGGAATACATAGTGTGTATTGTGGAATACATAGTGCGAAGCCCCTTTCGAAGTGCGCAATAGCCAAAGACATATACTACGTTTACACGGCACGCTTTACGCCGAAGTTATAACATCGATGTTATGAAACTGGCCAATCATAGCTGTTCCTCTGAAGAATGGAATGACTGTGATTGGTCAGTTTCATGACATCGATGTTATAACTTCGGCGTAAAGCGTGCCGTGTAAACGTAGTAATAGAGAATGGACTGCGCGATCCGTGTGTCAAAATGGTCGATAGGGATGAGAAAGAGGGACCATGGCAGACGGCCATTTCTATTTTTTTCCATTCAATGATGTAATGGGAGAGAAAATGAGAGGGGGATTGGCCGTCTCCCACGGACCTCTCGTTATTGACGACCACATTTGATAAGCGTGATTTACACGGGCGACTTTTATTCGCTAGAAACCGCGTCTAGTGACGTCATTAATTCGCCAGCGAATTCTTTCGACTCTGCTGCTATTCGCTTGAAGTAAGCTTCTTAATTCGTCAGCGAATTCGCTGATAAAAGCTTCTTCTACACGCTTGGTTTTTATTCGCTAACGACTAAAATTTTGAAGTCGCAGCGTTGAGTGGTTGCTAGTGATCAAGCGAATAGTTGGGCACAAAGCACAACAGCGGCTCGAAGTATGTCATTCGATGACATGGTTATTCTCTAATGCTTATGGCTGAGTGGTCGAGACGTTTCGGAAAAATTCGTCTTTTTACGCTGACGACTTAAAAATTCGCTCTGGAAGAGCAGCAAGAAGCTAGCGACAATCTAGCAAAAAGCTAGTGACAAGCCAGCGATAAGCCAGCGTCAAGCTAGCGACAAGCGTCGAAAGCAGTATTCGCCGCGAGTATACGTTAACAAGAGCAATTCCCGCGTCTAGAAGAAGTTTTTAGTAGCGAATTCCGTGACGTCATTAGACGCGGCTTCTAACGAATAAAAGTCGCCCGTGTAAATCACGCTATACACTACTTAGATACGGATTGCGCAGTCCATTCTCTATGTCTTTGGCAATAGCTAATTTGGAACGACTTCTGTGCAGTCTACGCGCTTCATGCGTGACTCGGAACGCACCCTGTCTTTGGTTATCATCTAAGGCAAGGCTGCGTTCGAAAATATCCCCGTGTATTATCTTATCCTTGTTTAACACTGAGTGAACAACAAAGATAATACAATACGCGGGGGCACTCGGGTGATGTTTTCAAACGCAGTCCAAGTAAGATTAGATATTAAAATATTTAATAGGGTGCGTTCCACATAACGCTCGTAACGCTCAGATCGCTCTTCGTGCTGTTCCACTTATCGTCCACGACGCCAGCGGACGCTATAAGTGAACAACTTCAGATGATAAAAATGAACGCTCATAACGCCCGCATTAAGGAGGTAGGTCGGCGTGAGAGTTGATGTCACTAGTTATATGGGTGCGTTCCATTTAACGCTCGCAACGCTCACGCTCAATGCCGAGTATTACAATAGCAGAGGTTACAATTGTATCTGTTGTACAGATATTGAAGAATTATTCTTCCAGTGAAAGTAGTTGTAGTTCTGATGAAGAATATGAGATTCTCTTATAAGAAAAAAAGAAACGTGTTAAACGTCTTCGCATAGAAAATTATTCACAAACTGTTGTTACGCGCTATATGGATTATGAGTTCAAAAGTCATTTTAGATTAGATATTACCTTTTATATTTTCAACGAGTTTTTTTAAATATACAAAAGAGAGATTTTCAATTACATTAATAGAAGTACAAATAAATATATTATAAATATATTTATTGAATGATTTTGAATATATTATAATTTGTATATAATTTGTTATATTGTATCCCTTATCTTTCATAATTTTCGCAATGTGTTCCCAACACTTCTTGTGTGAAATCTTTCCGTTAGTAAATTTTTTTTCCATTTCTTGATACGTTTGTAATAAAAAGATAACACATGAATCAGTCCATCGATATAAAGATCCTGCAAAAGTATGTATTATAAGCAATGGAATAAAGTCTCGCACGAAGCAAGAGATCCAGCTATTCTGAAACTCTTAACGATAACAAAACTTGCGTTAAGAGTTTCAGAATAGGCTTGCTGGTCCCACATGAGAAAAATATTACCTCAGCCGAGGTAATATTTTTCTTAATGAAATTATTTATAGATTTTAGAATACTTAATTATTAACATCATAATATTAAGATTGATCTGAAATGCGTTATGCCTTATGAACACCAATAATTTAATTAGTGATATTACTAATGTAGTTCTGTCAGAATTGCGTTTTTAAGACTGAAAATAAATTTGGCACGCTGTTTAAGGAAATGGATATGTGGTACATAAATTTGCACAGAATTGTTCCAGTACTATAGATCCAGTTTGACCATTTAAGGCCTTTATTTCAATTCGTTATGTAATATATAAAGTTAATTAGAAATATACATTTAAATTTTTGATTCCTGCGTGAACATACTCATATATATCGTTTAGAAATGTGTTATGTTTAGAAATGAGTTTTATAAGATCAATGTAATCAATAAGAAATAAAGAGAAATAATATTTTAAATTTACTTTCTTCACACTTATCTATTGACGAATCATTATCTACTGCAGTTGTCGCAATTTCATTAGCTGCAGTTTGCATGTTATTTTCTTGATTTTGCTGTAAAATTGCTATATTTAAGACAGATGTAGCAAAAGTAATATCTGTAAATATAATAAATGTTTTCAAAATCATATAATTCTTTTATGCAAATATGTCTAATATAAATATTAGAATATAAAGTTAAAGCATTTTATTTATAATAGCAATACCTGAAAGGTTATGTAATATTGAATCATATCTAATATCTATATATTAATAGGTTATAATTGACATTTATTATCTTACCTGAAACAGCACGTCGAGCATCATCAGGAGACAACATAACATCACACATTTTATCACTTGTATGATCATATAAAGATACTTTCTCCATACTTATTTTTCCGAATTTTACTCTCTGCCACTGTAAATACAAGATCACATCGATCACGAATAACGATGCTCTTCACTCGTTCCACTTATCGCAATGCTCATGTTAGTGGAACGGGTGATCGCGTCATTGCGAGCGTGAGTGTTGCGAGCGTTATGTGGAACGCACCCATAATAGTACGCACGCACGCACGCACGCACGCACGCACGCACGCACGCACGC